ATAAAAGACAACCAAATTTAACAATGAGAAAAAATAATTGAATAGACATTTCTCTAAAGGGTACATATGAAGGGCCAAGAAGCTCCTGCAAATATGTTCAATTTTTTCATCATTAGGAAAATATAAATTTAAACCTAAATGGGATACCACTTCACACCCACTAGTGTTACTTAAAAAAAAAAGACAACATAAGTTTGAAAAGTTATGGAGAAAATGGAATTCTCATACATTACTAGTGGAAATGTAAAATGGTATAGCCACTGAGGTTGGAAAACAGTCTGTCAGTTCCTCAAATACTTAAACATAAAGTGACTCACGATGCAGCAATTGCACTCATAGTTATACAACCAAAAAAATTACAAACATGTTCACTCAAAAACATGTACAAAAACATTTATAGCAGCATTATTCATAATAGTTAAAAAGTGGAAACATCCCAACTGACCATTAGTTGATGGATAAACAAAATGTGGTATAACTATATAACGGAATATTATTTAGCCATAAAAAGGATTGAAGTACTGATGTAAGCCATAACAAGAATGAACCTTAAGAATATTGTGCTAAGTAAAAGATGCATGTGCAAAAGGCCATGTTGTATTATTCCATATACAGGAAATGTCCATAACAAGTATATCCATAGGGAGATAAAGTAGATTAGTGGTTGTCAGGGACTGCAAAAAGGGGAGAATTTGAGAGTGACTGGCAGGAAGTACAGGCATGCTTTTTGGCATTATGAAAATATTCTAAAATTAGATGGTGGTGATGGTTGCAAAACCTTTGGAATATAGTAAAAGACATTGAATGGTATGCTTAAAAATGGAGAATTTTGTGATTTGTGAATTATACTTTAGAAATAATAACAACAATAATAAAGCGAGGTGTCTTTCCACATCTCCATGCTCTGTATTTTCATGAAAAAAAAAAAAATCACCTCAGGGCCAGGCTCAGTGGCTTACTCTTGTAATCCCAGCCCTTTTGGAGGCCTAGGCGAGAGGATTGCTTGAGGCCAGGAGTTCTAGACCACCCTGAGCAACATAGCAAGATTTCATCTCTATAAAAAATTTTTTAAAAATTAGCCAAGAATGGTGATGTGTGCCTACAGTTCCAGCTCCTTGGAAAGCTGAGGCAAGATGATCACTTGATCCTAGGAGTTTGAGGTTGCAGTTGGCTATCATCAGCACTGCACTCCAGTCTGGGGGACAGAACGAGAGCCTATCTCAAAAAAAAGCATCTTGCATTCATAGTAAGTGACCAGAATATGATGCTGACAGCATGCTGTGATGAAATGTATCAGATGAAACAAATTAATTTCAAAAAGATGTTGTTGTTGTTGTTGTTGTTGTTGTTTGTAGAAATAAGGGAAGAGAAACATCTACTTGGAAAGAACTGACACAACTAAATTGGAAAATGTGGGAAGGGGATGGGAAGAGGCTGCTCTACTTGAGATCTGACTCCAGGGCTTACAGCAAGGGGAACTTGGGCAAGTTACAGACTCTCTGTGCCTTGGTTTTTTCATCAGCAAAACAGAAAGAATCATCCCATAAACTGTAAGGTCGATGGTATCAGTGGGTCCCCAAACTGACTGCACATCTCAGTCATGTTAAACACATTCCAGGCCCCACCTGAGCCCACAGAATCAAAATTCATGCCAGAAGGACAATGAAATTGTATTTGCACTGACTTTCCCAGGTGTTTCTTACTCTGATCAACTTGGGGGTAGGACCCATTGAGCTGCATCACATCATTCCGAAGCCAAAACACAACAGCACAACAAGAATATTTTCAATGCAGTCCCTAAAGCAGAGCAGAAACTGTTGGGGGAACCTAGAAGTAAAGGAGACCTGGCTTGCTGGGCTCCATTTAAACTTTATCCTGAGTAAAGCAGAGACAGAAGCCCTTCGGGACACATGCCTGAGGCAGTGACAGTCCAACTTTGGAAGAGTGGAAGCCCTAGTTTCAAATTCAAGCATGCTTTGAGTAGAAATTAAGTTTACCTCTTTTTGCACAGCAACATGGCCCATCTTTCCTAAGCTGCTCAGCTTATAAGAAAAGGAATCATACTGCTAAGAAATCACACTTCAGCAGACATGGGAAAGTAAGGAGGTCTTATAAATCTATTCTAGCTATCTAACATGAGATCAGAAATGTAGCAGTTTCTTTCATGTTCAGGAGAGTTGTCCAGAGGCATTTCTAAAAATGGAAAGCATTCCTTCCTGTCCTAAGACATCACTGCTAACTTCAGGGAAGTAAGAACACAGCTGTCCACTCTACAGTATGGGTTGCTTTTGCACCTAAAATGTGTCCAACATCCTGAGACCTGTACCCATTTCAGGGAGCCTTGAGAGGAGCCCAAATCACTGAGTGAATTGGACAGTGCGTGGAGATGGTTCAGCACTGCACGGGTAAGTGCAGGAGCAAGGCCGGGTCATTCTGAGAGACAATGGGTGGCGCCGATGGGGGTAAACAAAGATAAAATCAGAAGTTTGTGCTTCATCTTCAAAAACTCAAACCAATAAGTAATTTGTTCTTTAAAAGTAATAACAGTTATTTTTCTTTTTACATGAGAATTTAATCTCAAAACAGAAATCAGAAAAATATGAAGTCCAGTGCATAAAACCTAAACAATAGCTTATATGTATTCTTTCTAAATAGAACCAACAGTAAAATCCTCTTCATAAAACATATATTGTGGTTATAAAAAGGCAAAAATCTTAGTGAGACTCATAGGTATTCAATAGAAGAGTAAATTAAACACAGTCAAGGGAAGACCCAAGTCTCACGCTTCGGACACTTCTGAATTTTGGTCCCAATACTCTAGGAGGTCACACCTCTGTCCTGGAAAATGACACAGGAATGAATATTCTTCCCTTGACTCATTCTGTTCATTCTTTCAGAATCACAGAAACAAAAGAAATGGAAATACGGTCAAATAAATAATTTGTTTCCCTCTTCTTCAGGTCTCTTATCTGTTTTTTACGAATAACAACATTACCTTAAGGATTATGATGAAAATACAATGCCCATATATGTGCACAGTTTTAAGCAAAATGTCTGGTACGAATCGGTCAATGAATAATTACTGAATAATTATACAAATATTGCTGAATTATATTAATTCTATGAATAATTATTGAATAATTATTGTGATTGCTTTTATTGGCAGTGCTCAGAACTCATCCCTGTGTGACCTCAAGTAAGTCATGTAACTTTGTGACTTGCAGTTTCACCATTTTTTTTTTTTTTTTGAGACGGAGTTTCACTCTTGTTGCCCAGGCTGAAGTGCAGTGGTGCATATTTTTAGTAGATATGGGGTTTCTCCGTGTTGGTCAGGCTGGTCTCAAACTCCCGACCTCAGGTGATCCACCTGCCTCGGCCTTCCAAAGTGCTGGAATTACAGACGTGAGCCACCATGCCTGGCTTTTTTTTTTTTTTTTTAGTAGATATGGGGTTTCTCCGTGTTGGTCAGGCTGGTCTTGAACTCCTGACCTCAGGTGATCCACCTGCCTCGGCCTTCCAAAGTGCTGGAATTACAGACGTAAGCCATCACACCCGGCCTTCACCATTTTTAAAATAAAGAAATTTTACAAATTTTTTTCCTGCCATATAATGTCAGGTCTCATAGACACCAGAAAATAAATTTATTTACATTGATATATTTCAAAGCAATGTCCTTACACAGCATAGTTGCAGGATGGTGGGGACTGCTGAGAGGTATGCTTTCAAATGAGATTGACCCAGTCCTCTGTCCTTCACTTCCAAATGAATGCTGAGTAGCCCAGGGTTATGCTCATTGCACCCTCAAATCACTCAAGTCCAGCAGCCAAACTAAAGAGACCTGGGCTATGGGACTATCTCCCCAGTCCCAGGCTCACGAAACCTAGGGGGGGATAAAAGCTGAGAAAGTGAGTAGGTGGTTCAGGGGATCACTCTCTCCTACACGTTCCTCTCACCTCAAACTCACCTTCTACTGCACAGAAACACTGAGGACCACCAACCAACCCTAACCATGTCTTGCCCCCTTGATCTTGCCATGTTCTGTTAGTGGAATGCAACCACACTTCAATGGTGTTAGACAAACTCAGAAAATATATATATGTCAAACGAGGTTCCATAAGAACTGCTCATAACCCTGTTCTGTTCATTATATGGGAAAACTGAATGAAAACAACAAAATAGTATCAGGTTTACAAAACTTCCCAAGATAGATGGTCACACATGTTTTCAGGAGATATATGTATAAATAATCTGGATTACTTGATACCTTGAAAAGAGCTCTTGTGGGACTAGAATGACATCGATAAGTGACAAGTATAAAATGTAGTGTTCACTGACATTAGAAAACAAATCAACCCACGCATAGAAGAAAAACTTTGAAGATAATGATGTCAAACTTGTCTTAAGTGCAATGGAAAGCCAAAATTCTGATCCAGTAAGAGAATAGAAATCAACCTGACTATGAGATGCAGCAAGAAGAATACTGAGACAGGAAAGAAAACATTTTTTAAAAATGAATTATTCATTCATTTTTTAGTGGATACAGAAAAAAACTGCAGAAGACCCTGAGAATATCATGGCAGTCTAACAGTTTGATATCTTTCACTTGTGGAAAAGCCTTCAGATCTGTTTTAACTGAAAGAGAAGGTGTGGTGACTTCATGACTACCATTAAGAAAATATAACCCGTTGGGAAACTGTTTCTGACTGGTACACACAAGAAACGAACAATGAGGAATATGCTTAGATGTATTGGGAAAGAGATGGGTCTGTGGCGTTGTCACAAAGGTACACAAATCCTGAGAATGACTGCTGAACAAATGGTCCCCCTCAATGCTGACCCTCAGGTAAGACCAAGGGGCCTTGTGTTTCAGCAAAGCCTGGGCAACTGTAATGCAGGGCTCCTAAGATTCCATGACATTCCCTCCTTCTAATTCTGTTATTGCAACTGCAGGCCATTACCTGGCACACTGGCCACTATCTGCCTCACTCTTATCAGAGTCTGAGCTACAGGCAGTGCCTTTGGCTCAAATGTCTGGCATCTCAGACCCTGTTTTTGTGGTTAAGGACTCTAAAGTGCTGTGGCGAGTGATCAAGTTTTTCTCAGCGGTAAGATAACAATTCCAGTTATTGTCATCCCTCAGTCCTGATCAAACCTATTTGATTTCACCAATTTTCAACCCATGATGTGTTTGAGTTTCTTCTCCCTAGTCCCTGGCTCTACCTCTTCTGGCACAAATGTCAGCATGACTGTATCTGCCAGCCTTTTGTCAAGTGAAAGGGCAGAGATGAACATCCTAGAAATCAACCAAGAATTGCGCTTACAGCTGGCAGAGAGCAAACAGCAGTTCTGAAACCTCAAAGAGAAATTTCTTATACCTCAAACTACTACGTACTCCCTGGCCAACCAGCTGAAGAAGTACAGTAAGTTCTACAGGTTCACTGTATCAAAAATGATGAATGATTACCCATCTTCTCCCTGAGAGGTGAAATGCTCTCTTAATCAAAATTAATTTTATCCTTTCCATGCTTCTAGGAAAAAAGAAGAGGGTATTTTCACCTCATTTTCTTAAAGATGGAAAACAGAGGCACAAAGTATTCAGCAGCTTTTCCATGTTTGTAATTTGGCGTGGGGTGGAACTAGAGTTAAAATACCAGTTACTGGTGTCTGACATAGGAACAGAACCACCTGTTTTTTTCAGCAAGAGGCTAAATTGTGTTTGCCAGAATTCTCTCTGTACCATATAAGATCCTGCAGACAAATAGCATCTAATCTGTGGCTTTACATATCTGGGACTAATGAATTTCCATTCAATTCAGGCTGTTGAGGCCTGATAGGCAAAGTTCCATGCTGAGAACCCTGGTGGAAACGTGGTGATAGCACACAGTACCAACTCCAAGTAGCTTAAAGAGGAGTCTGCACCTAATAGAAATTGTGGTATCCATAAGTGACAGCATCGAGAGTAAGGAGTACCCTGGTGAGAGGAAAGTCCTGCTTTCTGGGGCACAGGCTGTTATTTCTCTCTTTTTTTTTTTTTTTTTGATATGGAGTTTTGTTTTTGTTGCCCAGGCTGGAGTGCAATGGCCCAATCTCAACTCACCACAACCTCCGCCTCCCGGGTTCAAGCGATTCTCCTGCCTCAGCCTCCAAAGCAGCTGAGATTACAGGCATGCGCTATCATACCCAGTTAATTTTTGAATTTTTAGTAGAGACGGGGTTTCTCCATGTTGGTCAGGCTGGTCTCGAACTTCCGACCTCAGGTGATCCACCCGCCTCGGCCTCCCAAAGTGCTTGGATTACAGGCGTGAGCCATGGCACCTGGCCCAGGCTCTTGTTTCTAAAGAGGAAAAAAGAGAGCCCCCAAGACTTTGTGGAGGTAGCAGTGTGTAAAGCAGGAACCTTGAGCCAGTTTCCTGGGTTCCATCCAAGTTGCTCGTCTTCTCTGTGCCTCAGTTTCCTCATCTGTTCACGGGTGTTATAATAATACCTACCTCGGTAAATTGCTGCAATGAATTACACAACCTATTGCTTGTAAACCTCCTGGAACAGTTGTTGGCACAGAGTAAACACTATTAGTTCTTTATTCTACTGTTTCTAACTTAACAGAAATTTGATTAGTATTTGGGCATGCTTCCTTCATGGCCTTATGGTCTTATGTCTCATATTTTATGCAATTATATCCAGATATGATTTTTTAAATCTTGAACATGTTGGTGCTTAAAATTCCCAGTTTAAAAAAAAAAATCAGTCCAGTAAACACAGAAAATCTGAGACAGGTCTCAGTTAATTTAGAATGTTTATTTTGCCAAAGTTGAGGATGCACCTGGGACACAGCCTCAGGAAGACCTGACGGTGCCCAACGTTGTCACGAGACGTCAATTAATGTATGTAAGAAGTACATTTGTTCAGTCTGGAAAGGCAGGACAACTTGAAGCAAAGGCAGGAAGATCCAAATTATATGATTTCTGAGCACTCTAAGTGTAAGCAGAAATTAACACCAGCTGGTTAAATGCTTATTTTAGTCGTTTAAAAGGAAATTGCAAGATACAATCCCAAACCAGTTTCTTACCTAGTGATAGTGATTGGTCTCAGGCTGTAGACTGCTCTCCACCATCCTAGAAGCAGGAAAAACAACTCATCTTCCCTGTTGGAAGAAGAGAGCTCGAACTTCATAAAGCAGTTACCTGCATTCCATTGTCATGGAAGCAGGAAAACTTGCCTTCCTGTTGACAGCAAGCGAAACTCCAGAAAAAGAAGAGTTGTACAGTAAAATAAATTTAAGATCTCGACCAAATTTGGGTAGATCAAGGATTCTCTGGAGGGGATGCTCTCAGACCTCAGCAAATTGTCCTATTGGCTTGAGCCATAAAGTTAGTTCATGCTGGTACCAAGCACTGACACATTTGTCAAAGGTCAGGGGCATCTCCACTCAGAATCCCCCAGTGGTGGTTACCGAAATGTGAACCCAACAAATCTGAAACAGGTCTCAGTTAATTTGGAAAGTTTATTTTGCCAAGGTTGAGGATACGCCAGAACAGCCTCAGGAAGACCTGACGACATGTGCCCAAGGTGGTCGGGGCATAGCTTAGTTTCATACATTGGGAGACGTGAGACATCAATCAATATATGTAAGAGGTAAATTGGTTCTGTCTGGAAAGACAGGAAAACTTGAAGCAAAGGCAGGAAAACTCAAAGTGGAGAGGGAGCTACCAGGGAAGGGAGCTTCCCAGTCACAGATAGGTGACACACAAATGGTTACATTATTTTGAGTATGTGATTAGCCTTTCCAAAGGAGGCAAATAAGATATGTATCTATCTCAGTGAGCACAGGAGTGACTGAATAGAATGGGAGGCAGGTTTGCCCTAAGCAGTTCCCAGCTTGAGTTTTCCTTAGTGATTTTGGGGGCCCAGGATATTTTCCTTTCGCAGTCTCACAGCCCTAGAAGCCTTCCTAGCTGTTCCCCAGTGCAGGAAAGGCTGCAAGCCTTGGGAAAGCATCCCATGATTCAGAGTCAGACCTCAGGGGCTGTGAATTCTGACCCTGCCTCCTTCCAGGTAACTCATCTTGTCGAGTTGCTTGATGTGCCCCTGAGCTTCTTTTTTCCTGTATCTAAGTGGGGAGTATCAGATGCCAGAAAGTCGGGAGGCTGAAGAGTAAAGATGTGGACATCCCTGCCTACAGCCTGGAACTAGGGACAGTTTTGTCCTTGGCATGGACCTGGCTCCTGCCCTGTAGGCAGTGACCACAGCAGCATGCCCAGCCTTCCACTGAGGCAGGTGTGTCTGTCTTAGAATATGAAGAGTGCAAAGACCTGATAAAATCTATGCTGAGGGATGAACTAAAGTTCAAGGAGGAGAAGCTGGCAGAGGAGCTCAGGCAAGCGGAGGAGCTCAGCTGAGGGGGCCCCGTGGGGGCAGGCAGGTGAGCAGGTGTGTGAATCTCTGTACAGCAGCTCAGCAGGGAGAAGTAAGAGCTAAGCTGGGCCAGGGGAAGGGCAGGAATTGCCACGGCAGGCACATGTCACACAAATATTTATAAAACAGAGAACAATAATAGTAAGTTATGGGTTGCCTCGTTTTCTCTTTTTCAAACAAGTAATTGTTGAGGTGAAATTTGCATAACACAAAAGTAACCAAAGGAAAGTGAATTACCCAGCAGCAGTTAGTATACTCAAAATGCTGTGCGATCACCACTGCATTTACTCTTAGTCAGAATCACCTCCTGACTGACTTGGGCTTCTCATTTGTTCAATCAATATTGCCTTCTCGACCCTGTCATTCTTTTCTTTTTTCATCTTTCCAGTTGTACCTGGCCACATTTCTGTGCACGGCTTTGTGTCCAGTCGCTGAATAATGCACTATGTGTATTTTAACATGAAAATGCCCACAACCAAAATGAGAAATCGAAGGAAAATCCTTTTGGAACTCATTTGGTTACAGAAGAAAAAGATGAATGGAATGCTGAAAAATCTTCCTGGAGCTCTCTCTCTCTATTGCAGAGGGGAAGACCTGTTTTTAATAAAAAATATATATATTTTTTTCTTTGCTTTGCCACAGGCATTTCCCTTAACATGTACTGACTTTCTGCATGGAGGGCTCCTTTGTTGCAATATTAGAACGGATCACTCATCCCTTTCCACTATTAAATTTTCTCTACTATTCCACCTTAGGCAATATAAAGTCTCTGTTCACTCTCAGACCTGAGAGCTGGCCCAGTTACAGGACATGTTACAGGAAGGGAGAGATGCCTTCCTCTCACTGAATCAGCATCTCAAGGTCTTCCTCACTCCTGATGATTCTGACAACTCCTAGGGGCAGGACCTCTGAGAGCAGGCTGGCAGAGCACCTTGTCCACAAGCTCAGCCCAGGTAAGGTGACCACAGGCCCTGATGACACAAAGCCCAGGCTTATGAGAGACTCTACACCTCCATACCTTCACAATGACAGTTATATTGGTGGTGTTTCTTTCCATTAAACATATATGGCCATGACATGACCAGGACTTCCTGGGTAGGAACAGAGGTAAGAAGTCCATGGGGTTAGAGGTCACAGTATTGCAAATGTCTCCTCCTCCTTGACAGTCATGTCTTTGGAGCAAGAGGCCATATCCATTCAGTTTTAAAGGACAGGAAGGAGGCTATGACAGAAGGCAAGTTGTTAGAGTAAAAAGAGTCCAGGACTAAGAATGAAGGTTCCCAGGCTGCGTCTTCAGCAATGTCCTTAGTAACCGTGGGTGAGTGATTGATTTATCCTTTCTGGATTTCTTTGTCTAAACCTGCAAAGAGGTCAAATTGTCTCTTCAATGGTAGATACAGCATTCAAATATGGGAACACTTATGATTACCTTTCAAAATGAGATGAAGCCCCTCACCGTGTGGTGTTGCAGAAGGCACTTGATGTGGGGGCATTTGGTGGTAGGAAGTGCTTCAGACTGGAGCATTCCCCATGGAGAGAATGTCCCTGAATAACACAGCAGAAGCCAACTTGGAGGGCTTGTGAAGTCTCCCAATGCATGAAGAAAGGTGGGATAAGGTTGTTTGTCCTCCCCTAAGAGAAAGAAATAGATTCTAAATGTGAGAGCTGTGACAGGACACCGAGCCCGTGCCTGGGAATCAGATCTGTGGCGGGATGGGGGAGACAGCTGCCAAAGGCCAGAAAGATGCTGGACAAGCCTCCAGTGATATGGGGAGCAAAACGTCTTTTCAATATTTGGCCACAGCTTGATGGTGGCCCTCCAGATCAGAAATGCATTGCCTGATGGATCAGGAAACAACGCCAGGGCATTTTATTAAAGATAAAACATGAAAGCTTTCAGTCCGACACTGACCCATGCATAGATGTTCATGTCTCTGTGCACATAGGGCTCACTGTGCTTGCAGTGTGTGAAGTGAGGAATATCTAAATGGAAACTTCTGTATTTGTTTGCAGAGAATGATGAAGGTGATAGTGAAAATGATAAAGATGAGGAGATTCATAAAGTACAAGCATCACCTGTCCCCAGGTTACACTGAACAATCAGGAGCGGGTAGTGGGTGGATAAACCATGGAAAAGGTCTTAGAATACGAGGGAGTTGAAGGTAGTCACAGATTCCAGATGCAGGATAAAGAAAGCTGCAGAGTGCACTGATTTCATGTGCTCACCCAACAAGGAAATAGGCCTGGTCCATTGTCTTCATGGGCCTTGTAAGCATGACCCTGGATGAAGTCACCAGCCCTAGGGACTTCCTGCACTCACAGAGGAGAACTGTTCTCTCCTGTAATGAAAACCAGGAGGAGATGCAAAGCTGCTTTCTACATGATTGTCTCCAGGTTCTTGTTAAGAAAGATAAATAGCAAAGAGGTGGGTCAGGCATGGTGGCTCACACCTGTAATCCCAGCACTTTGGGAGGCCAAGGTGGGTGGATCACCTGAGGTCAGCAGTTTGAGACCAGCCTGGCCAACATAGCAAAATCTCATCTCTACTAAAAATACAAAAATTAGTCAGGTGTGGTGGGGGGCACCTGTAGTCCCAGCTACCTGGGAGGCTGAGGCAGGAGAACCGCTTGAATGCAGGAGGCAGAGGTTGTAGTGAGCCGAGATCATGCCACTGCACACCAGCCTGGGTGACAGAGCGAGAATGTGTCTCAAAAAAATAGTAAAGGGGTAAAAAGCAGAGGAATTATTTAGGAAGTTTCTAGAAACTAAACATCAAGAGAAGTACCTAGAAAAAAATTGTACATTTCACATATTATTTTTATAAAAAGACCCAGAAGACATACCATTTCTGGAGCCTACAGTGGCTCAAGAGCCTGTATTCCCTTGGTCACAGTATTTAAATGCAACCCAGCTTTGGCACACCGTGTAGCAGCTGTTATGGTTCTCCATGTATGTATCTCTGTGTGTGTCATGTCTGCACACACAGAGATAGCTGAGCCTCCATCCTCCTCAGCTCCTATCTTCCCAGTGCAATGAACACCAGCTGCTCCCTTCCTCTTTGGCTCCCATGGCATCCACAATCTCTTGCAGAGAAAGGAGGAGTGCCTGTTCCCTCTTACAGGGAGCCACCCGTTCGCTTTTTGGGACAATTCTCTTATACCTCTGTCAAAACTGGCTAGGACTCCCTGGGTCCAATTGAGGGTCCAATCTCTCTGTGTTTAATCTTTTGTCATCTCTCTCCCCGCTGGCTCATCAGGGAGGTGCTGAAGGCTGAAGAAAAGGAAGTCCCTGAGGACTCACTGGAGGAATGTGCCGTCACTTGTTCAAATAGCCACAGCCCTTCTGACTCCAACCAGCCACACAGGAACACCAAAACCACATTTGAGGAAGACAAAGTCGACTCTGCACTGGTTATAGACAGTGAATCCTCTCATGATGAATGGGAGGATGCTCTACACATTTTCCCAGGTAGACTCTATATTCTCTGCCCCTCATACCTCTGTCTAGGCTGAGGAAGATCAACTCCGAAAAAGAGCTCTATACAAACAAATTGGTTTGAATCAGAAATTAGGATGGGGTACTAAACACAGATATCAGGTGGTTTAGGGATTTTCCTCTCCTCCTCAGCCCTGTCTCCCTGTCCCCAGTGTCATGGACCCCAGGCAATTGGGACAAACTCATAGTCACCTTTGTCCAGGAGGTATACAGGAGGTATCTATCAAGCCTTCTAGCTTGGATCCAATATCTCTCATCATCTGTCATTATGTCATCTGTCCCTGAACAAAGTCCATGGAGTTTTTATGCCTTTTTAAGGAAACTGGCAGCCTTGCCTTTGTATTTGGAGATATTGTTCCCCCAGTTTTACTGCTCTCAGCTTCAGTCTTGATCTCCTTTAAGTCAGCTTGCTTAGCTGCACAGTCACCTTGAAACCAGGATGGAAACATTTATTCTTTACCTTGCTGATATGTCTCCATAGAGCAAGGCTGGGCCCTGAGTTCTCCACCCCATCAATGGCCAATGTTTCTTTGTAGCATCACAGATTTTTTTTTTTTTTTTTTGAGACAGAGTCTCACTCTGTCACCCAGGCTGGAGTGCAGTGGCACAGTCTTGGCTCACTGCAACCTCTGCCTCCTGGGTTCAAGCAATTTTCCTGCCTCAGCCTCCTGAGTAGCTGGGACCAGAGGTGCACACTACCATGCCTGGCTAATTTTTATATTTTTAGTAGAGACAAGGTTTCACCATGTTGGTCAGGCTGGTCTCGAACTCCTGGCCTCAAGTGATCCATCCACCTTGGCCTTCCAAATCGCAGATTATTTTTTAAGACAGAGTTGTTAGAATTCATCCATCAGTCCAGTCTCATATATAGATGCCTTTAAACATTCAATGACCATGTTATCTGGTGAGATAAGTCAGTATTGCAGCAACACTCTCAGAAAGTAGCTTGACCAATTTTTGGAGATTTTTTTGGGAAAAATTTTGTTTAACTTGCATAGACTCAGGCAGGGAATATGGCATTAGAGTCTACCCACAGAGGGAAATTTTGGCCTGTGGGACTGGAAAGCAGGGTCATCTACTTCTCACCAGACTTAATCTAGGGCACCCTAGAACATTCCTGTCAGAATCCATATTCTTGCACTGAGAATAGTTATATCCTTGTGCTATGACTGGACACTGATTTGGTCATATGTGAAGTGTGATTTGCTTAATGTGACCTGCTTCTCTGAATTTATTTACAGAAAATCAAAGTGATCAAGAGGAAGAGGAAGAAGGGCCAGTGTCTCCCAGGTAACACTGTGGAATTGTGGGCTGTTACTTCAATAGTGACACTTGGAGACTGCAGATCCAGAGAAAACGAGGAAGTGATGAATAGAACTATTTCTTCCATTCACCCAGCTACAAATTGTCCTTATTAACACTGTTGGGGGCTATTCATGGCACTTGTGTTGGTTTTAATTTTGTAGTCCTCTCAAGATAGGAACCTGCAATCAGATGAGCCAGGTGAACTAACCAAACAGGGATTTCTTGGTGTTGCCTGTTCTCTCCCACGTGTTTAAATCCAGGGAGAGATGCATATATGCTTTCTGCCCATTTGTTGTTAGTATGTTTGCTAGTATCTGTGCAAGAGAAGAAATTCAGAAAATAAACATACATCAAAATATTGGAAAAAGGAGGCCCTTAATACACAGGCTGTATGTCTGCACTGCCTCAAGAGCTCTGTTCTCTTGAATGATGCATGTAAAATTCAACATAATTTATGCAAAGTAGTTGAAGTCCTGTGTCAGTTCTCTGTGCTGCAAGTCATGATGGTAGTTTACAGGGAGAGTCTGGGTGCTCTGCAGTGGCTCATCTGTGGCAAATGCACTGAGCATGACCAGCACATTTTCGATCTCTCCCCAAGACAGTCACTTTCCACCCTGCATTTAGAAGGATAGCTTTTTTTCTCTTGAAGGAAAAATGCCTTTGCTTTTTGTGATCACTCGATTCTGTTTCCCATTGGATCAGCTGAAAGGCTTTGTTGTCTAAACTTTGTTGGTTTAATCTTCTGTCATCTCTGTCCTGCCTGGCTCATCAGGAATCTGCAGGAGTCTGAAGAGGAGGAAGCCCCCCAGGAGTCCTGGGATGAAGGTTATTCGACTCTCTCAATTCCTCCTGACATGTCTGCCTCGTACCAGTCTTACAAGAGCACCTTTCCCTCATTAGAGGAACAGCAAGTCGGCTTGGCTCTTGACATAGGCAGTGAGTACTCCATTGTGAAGGTAATAAAGCTCCAGTTCGTGTCCCAGGTGGACCCCATAATCTTTGGGCCTTATGCCCCTGGTTGGGCTGAGAGTTGCCATCACTGTGGGCTGAACCTATATATCAGTGTAGATTTCAATCACTCTGGAGTTGAGTCTGAAGCACAGGCATGGGGTGGGTCAGTGAGCTTTGCTCTTTTCCTAGTCTCAGGCCATGCCCATGGCACCCTTGACCGACTGTCAGGACATTGAGCTCAAGGCAGGTGTGGTGAACTCACACCAAGCTCTGCAGCACATGCCCAGGAGTCATCCGTCAGATCAGCTCATCTGAATTAAATGTCTCTTGCCAGCTACAAAGTTCCTTATGAGTTTCGTTCCCCAAGCATGTCTTTGCGGTTCTCTACCTGCCCAATGCCAGTGTCACCCTTGTCTACCTCTCAGTGGAAGATGTAACCCAGGTTTCACTGAATTCATCCCCATTTTCTATGTCTTCTAAGTTGGCTTGTTTTAGCTCATCTGTCCATCTTCTTGCTGGTATGTTTTCTACATAAACAGCCGACTTTTCACTCACAAAAGCCATAATAGCTGATGCTTCTGTGTAGAACCCAAGACTAATTTTGACTCAAGAGCTGGTACATTGCACCCCTTCATCAAATCTCAGTGTCCATGATCTTGTAAACTATCAAATCCTGGGTATTTGATGAGAGAAAGCTTAATATTGAAGTATCTCTCCTACGAGGTGTTAGAACTATTTGCCTACAATCTATTGGGGGAAAAAAATTTGCTCATTTGTGTACACACACCTAGGACAGAGCACATTGGGAAGATAACGTTCCAAAACAGGGGAATTTTGCCCAAGGCTCATGAAAGGAACCAAGTCAGTTCTCTCAAGACTTGACCTCAGGCCTCCTGGTATATTTCTCTCAAAGTCTCCTGTTCTCACACTGAGAAGACTGATGTCCCTGTGTTAGGATTGGACAGAGGATTGTTTCTGTGTGCAAGGAGGGACTGCTTAATGTGAGAGGCCCCATCTGAATTTATTTGCAGGACATCAGTGTGATCAAGTGAAAAAGGAGGATTGAGAGGCAACATGTCCCAGGTGAGTCTGAGAAATTGTGGACAGTTAATTTGGTGTTGACACCTGGAGACGCCAAGTCCAGGGAAAACAGTACATGCTGAAAATAACGATTTCATCTTGTCAACCAAGCCTGAATTACTCCTACTAATATTGCTGTTGCTTTTCATTACAGTAAATGTTTAGGTTTCCATTTCTTCCTACCCTTATCATTTACTAACCTAGTGAATGTTGACCATACCTCAAAAGCTGTATTCTCATGGTGACTGCAGGGAAACTTGAGCACATTTTATGGAAAATTATTGAGCCCACTGTTTACATGATCACTGTTCACTGTGTGTCCTGAGGGCACTAACTCAGAGTGTCCTTTAACTCCCTCATCAATGTGTCTCCTGGACAATTCACTAAGCTCTCTTTGTCTGTCTCTCTTTCTCTCTCTCTGTATTTCTTTCATCATTTACTACCCAGCCATGGTCTATTCCTACATAAAGGCAATAATTTGTTACCTCATTAATGGATCTATGTTTTTTCTTTTGTAACCACTTCCTTATGCTACCCACGAAATCTAACTGGGGCTCTGCGATGTCTGATTTTCCCTGGCTTACTCTTCAGTTTTTCCTACTTCTCCAGGCTCAGCAGGGAGCTGCTGGAAGGGGAAGAGCCTGAAGTCTTGCAGTACTCACTGGATAGATGTTATTCGACTCCTTCCAGTTATCTTGAACTGCTGAACTCCTACCAGCCCTACAGAAGTGCCTTTTACTCATTGGAGGAACAGCTTGTTGACTTGGCTTTTGAGGTGGACAGTGAGGACCCTACAATGAAGGTGATAAGGATCCACCGAGTCTTCTGGATACGGGTCATATTCCTGCTGCAAGTGGCCCTTACTGAGCTGAGAGATGTCATTGCCACAGGGAGGACCTATAGGCACATGTAGGTTTGAATGAAACTCTAGTTCCACCTGGAAGCCCAAATATGGGATGGGTCAGTGAGCATGGCTGTCTTCGTAGTCGCAGGCCATGCCTGTGGCACTCTGATCCTACTCTCAAGACACTGGACCCAGGCAGATGTGACAAATTCACACAACTATGATTTTGACTCAATTTTGTAGATTTTGTAGATTTCCTCCTTTACTCTAATTTCAGTGTTTAAAATCTTTTCAATCATGAAAAAGCTGAGTTTTTGATGAAACAGGGCTGAATATTGCAGTTTTTCTCCTAGAAATCATTTGGGGGCATTTGTTTTAAATTGATTGGAAAAATACTGCGTAACCATTTGTACAAACTTGGGACAAATGATATTGGGATAGCAATCTACCAGAATTGGGACATTTTACCTGTAGTTTCTGGGACAAAAACCAAGGAATCTCCATTATAACCAGCCTTCAGTCCTCCTGAAGTATAGCTCTCAGTGCCCTATTCTCATGGTGAGAAGACTGAGGTCCCTGTGTAAGGATAGACAGTGGATTGTTACATGTGTAGGGGAATTGGCTTAATGTGTCTGTCCGTGTCTGAACTTATTGCAGAAATTGAAAAGTACCAAGAAAAGGAAGAAGACCAAAACCTACCATGCCCCAGGTAACTTTCAGCAATTGTGGACGCTTAATTCTGTGTTGACACCTGGAGACACCAGGTCCAGGGAAACCAGAGTGTGTTCAATTTCATCTTTTCAACCAAGCCTGAATTCCTCCTACTGACATTGCTGTTGGTTTTCATTGTAGTAGACCTTTTGGTTTCCATTTCTTCCTCCCCTTATCATTTACTAACTTACAGTAGGTTGACCGAACCTCAAAAGCTGTATTCTCATGGTGACTGAATGGAAACTTGAGCACATTTTATGCAAAATTGTTGAGCCCACTCTTTTCATGATCACTGTTCGCTATGTGTCATGCAGGCACTAATTTAGAGTGTCCTGTTACTCCCTCATCATGTGTCAACTGGTCAATTCACTGAGCTCGTTTTCTCTCTCTCTCAGTCTCTCTCTCTCTCTTTCTCTTTCATCCTTTCCTACACAGCCATGGCCTATTCCAACATAAAGGCAATAATTTGTTACCTCATTAATGGATCTATCCTTTTTCTTTTTTAACCACTTCCTTATGCCCCATGAAATCTAGTTGGGGCTCTGTGGTTTCTGATTTTCCCTGGCTTACCTTTTAGTTTTTCCTACTTCTCCAGGCTCAGCAGGGAGCTGTTGGAAGTGCAAGAGCCTAAAGTCTTGCATGACTCAGTGGATAGATGTTATTCAACTCCTACCAGTTATCTTGAACTGTCTGATTCATGCCAGCCCTACAGAAGTGCCTTTTACTCATTGGAAAAACAGCATGTTGGCTTGGTTCTTGGCGGGGACAGTGAGTACCTTACTATGAAGGTAATAGGTCTCCACCTGGTCTTCTGGAAGGGGTCATATTCCTGCTCCAAGTGGCCCTTACTGAGCTGAGAGATGTCACTGCCACAGGGAGGACCTATAGGTGTATGTAGGTTATAAGGAAACTCTAGTTCCAGTTGGAAGCCCAGACATAGGATGGGCCAGTGAGCATGGCTCTACTCCTAGTCTCCAGCCATGTCTGTGGCAACCTGAGCCCACTCTTAGCACATTGGACCCAGGCAGATGTAAAAAATTCACAGAACTGTGATTTTGACTCAAGGGTTTGTAGGTTTCCTCCTTCATTCTAATTTCAGCGTCTAAAATTCTTGCAACCATTAACAAGCAGGGTATTTGATGAGACAGGGCTGAATACTGCAGTTTTCCTTCTAGAAATAATCTGGGACATTTGCTTTGAATTGATGGGAAAAGTAAGGCATAACTGTTTCCACAAACTTGGGATAAATGATTCTGGGATAACGATCTAGCAGAATAGGGACATTTCACCCTTGGTTCAGCGATGCAAACCGAAGAACCTCTATCATGACCAGCTTTCAGGCCTCCTGAAGTATGTCTCTCACAGTGTCCTGTTCTCATGCTGAGGAGCCTGAGGTCCCGGTGTGGGGATTAGACAGTGGAGTGTTATGGGTGTAGGTGAATTGGCTTATTTTGTTTGTCCCTGTCTAAATGCATTGCAGGAATTAAAAAGGACCAAGAAGAGGAAGAAGACCAAGGCCCCCATGCCCCAGGTAACTCTGAGCAATTGTGAACAGCTAATTCTGTGTTGACACCTGGAGACTCCTGGTCCAGGGAAAACAGAGCAGGCCGACAATATCGATTACATCTTTTCAACCAAGCCTGAATTATTCCTAACCATTGCTGTTGATTTTCATGGCAGTAGATATTTAGGTTTCCATTTCTTCCTCCCCTTATCATTTACTAACCTACCGTAGGTTGACCATACTTCAAAAGCTGTATTCTCATGGTGACTGCATGGAAACTTGAGCACACTTTATGGAAAATTATTGAGTGCATTCTTTTCATGATCACTGTATGCTGTGTCCTTAGAGCACTAACTCAAAGTGTCCTGTTACTCCCTCATCAGTGTGTCACCTGGACAATATACTGAGCTCTCTTTCTCTCTCTCTCTCTGTCTGTCTCTCTCGCTGTCTGTCTTTCTCTTTCATCCTTTTCTATTTGGCCCTGTTCTGTCCCAACATATAGCCAATAATTTGTTACCTCATTAATGGATCTATCCTTTTCTTTTTATAACCACTTCCTTATGCTACTCATGAAATCTACCTGGGGCTCTATGGTGTCTGATTTTCCCTGGCTGACTCTTTAGTTTTTCCTACTTCTCCAGGCTCAGCAGGGAGCTGCTGGAAGGGGAAGATCCTGAAGTCTTGCAGTGCTCACTGGATAGATGTTATTCGACTCCTTCCAGTTATCTTGAACTGCCTGACTCATGCCAGCCCTACAAAAGTACCTTTTACTCATTGGAGGAACAGCATGTTGTCTTGGCTCTTTACGTGATCAGTAGGTTCCTTACTATGAAGGTGCTAAGGCTCCACCTGGTCTTCCGGATAGGGGTCATATTCCTGCACTGAGCAGCCCTTACTGAACTGAGAGATGTTGCCACAGGCAGGACCTATAGGCACATGTAGGTTTGAATGAAACTCTAGTTCCATTTGGAAGCCCAGACATAGGATGGATCAGTGGGCATGGCTCTATTTCTATTCTCAGACCATGCAGTGGCAACCTGTGCTCAGTCTGAAGACATTGGACCCAAGTTAGGTGAGACACATTCACATAACTATGCAGCACATGCCGGGAGTGGTCTGTCAGACATTCTAATTTGAAAGATATACCCACATATCTCTGGGTAACTACAAAGTTCCTCAGGGATTTCATTTTGTAGGCAAGTCTCTGAGCTTCTACACCTGCTCAAGGGCAGTGTCATCTTTGTGTACAGCTCATGCAAAGGTGTTACCCTGGTTTTAATTAACCTAACCCCATTCTTTGTATCTTCAATGTCTGCTTTTTTAACTGATGTGTCTGTTACCTTTTGTTTTGGTTTTGGAAACAGGACTGAGCCTTGTCACTTTTTGATGCCATGAATAACCAATGTTTTTTTATAGAACCAAAGACTTATTTTTGACTCAAGGGTTTGTTGATTTTCTCGCTCATTGTAATTTCAGTGTCTAAAATCCTCACCTTTGTGAATAAGCTAGGTATTTCATGAGACAGGGCTGAATACTGCAGTTTTTTTTTTCCAGAAATTATTTTGGGTGTTTGCTTTGAATTGTTAGGGAAAATATTGCGTAACTGTTGGCACAAACTCAGGAGAGATGATACTGGGATAATGATCTACCAGAACAGGGGACATTTCACCCTTAGGTTCAGAGATGAAAACCAAGGAATCTGTATCACGTCTGGCCCTCAGGCCTCCTGGAGTATGTCTCTCACAGAGTTCTCTTCCCATGCTGAGAAGACAGATGTTCTCGCTTTAGGGTTGACGGTGGATTGTTGCATGAATAGAGGAATAGACTTAATGTGTCTGTCCCTGTCCACTTTGTTGCAGACATTGAAAAAAATCAAGAAGAAGAAGAAGACCAAGACCCACCATGCCCCAGGTAACTTTGAGCAATTGCAGACATTTAATTTATTGTTGATACCTGGAGATGCCAGATACAGGGAAAACGGAACATAACTATCCATTCATTCAGCCAACCATGAAATCGCCATATTAGTCATGTTAAGATTATCAGTGTGGAATAATTATTAAACAGGATTATTAGTTAATATTAATATTGGTACAATATTAATAAAGTTGCCTCTTTTCATTTTACACCTGTATTCGTATTTGTTTCTCTTGTTAATTCCTTCAAAATTGTACTAATCTTTATTCAGTTGACTTTGTTGAACTGATCAATCACATTTTCTGCAGTTTCGCTTTCTGCCTTTTTGGCTTAAAGTGAACTCGAGATGCTCATCTGATATCTGCCTCTTTGCCATTATATTTGCAAATATCTGAGAGCAGGAATGTGAATACAAATAATTCATATCATGCCAAAATTTTGAGAACAAGAGATGTTGAGGTCCCAGTAACTCTGTCAGTCTACGAAGACACAGGGGCCTGTTGCGTGTGCCGTGTCATAGCTCTTTGGTACAGGAATCGTTCCGTCTCCTTCCTTTCCAGCTCACTGTCTACCCAGGACACTGAGCACCTGCTGCTCTCTCTCCTGCTGGAGACAGAGAAGGATCATTCTCTGCTTGAGGGGACTGTTTTTTGCTTCCTCTGGCATCTCCTGTCAGACTCTCTGTAGAACCAGTTGGACACTGTGGTTTCTGTTCCCTCTGGTGTTTATCTTCTGTGTTCTTCACCCACCAGGCTAAGCCCGGAGCTGCCAGAGGTGGAGGAGCAGGGCGCCCCGCAGGACTGTCTGGATGAAGTTTACTTGACTCCTTCACTTCCCCCTGACCTGACTGCCAGCAGCCTTACAGCAGCACGTGTGCTCATTGGAGGATCAGCTCGCCTGCTCTGCTCTGGATGTAGCCTGTGAGTACTCCAGCCTGAAGGTCACAAAGCTCCACTGTTCTCCCAGGCAGCCTCTATATATTCTGTTTCCTGTAACTTGTGCAGGTGAGATGGATCATCGCTGCAGGCAGCCCCTGTAAATTCAGAGTGTTTTGAATCTGGTTCTTGGATCCAGTTTTAAGCTCAGACATTCAATGGGTAGAACCGCCTTCTCTTGTGCCAGGTCATTCCTCTGTCACTCGACTCCTTCTCACAAGAGCAGGCTGTAGGTATCAAAACAGGTCAGAGAGGGGAATGATGAGGGATCACTGCACACTCTTGGCCGCAACAGCTCACCTGGAGAATTTTGTATAACAGACTTCATTCCTTAAGATACGGCATCTTTCTATTCAGACATTATGTTGAACAGTGCCCTTCTCATCACATATCCTGAACAGCACCCTTCTCTCTTCTCTGGCCATCCACCTGTGCCAGCAATTTTCCCCCATTATTTTGGAGGGCTGTTTCGTGATTCCTGTGTTTCAAGCCAGATTCTCTACTACCTCCTCTGAGGTGGCTTCCCTCCACTGAAGCAGTTAGCGTCCCTTCCTCCGTGCATGGCCATGGCTTGCATCCTCTGTAGAGCCCCGTGGTTTCTTTTACGTGTGGGTTTGTGGTTTCAATCATGTGTCGTCTCAGTGCTATGTTCTCATGTAAACTATCAACAACTAGTGTCCCTGATCAGGTGCTGGCCTAACTGATGAGCAAAGCGCAGTGGTTCTCATGCCCATGATCTCCAGCAAACCCTTCCTGTGAGCAAGTGCCCCCTGAGGTTGCAGTTTCATAGGGTGTGTAAGGAAAAAAAAAACAATTTTCTTCTCACTCATTCTGGTTTTTATACCATTATTCTGGGAATTTCATGTGGATTGTTAGTAGTTTTACCCATCAAAACTCTTGTAGGAAGAGCAAGTAACTCTGTGATGTCCCCCATCTGAATATGTTGTAATGAGAGTAGTGACTGAAACTTTTGTCTTCCATTCTATTTTGGTCAGTAAGCACCTTTCCTGCTGGAACCATCCTCTTTCCTGTGTTTCATTTCTCCTTCAGTTTCAAAGAAGCAAAGGCTTTTGTAGGATCACAGCAATTCATAAAATGAAGTAAAATACACATCACCCTTCCACCTGTTGTACACCTTGCCCTTGGCCAAGCAAGCTCTTTCCTTGCTATAATCCATACAGTGCTCAAGGGGCACTCCTAGTGGGCAGTGGCATCTCCATGTTAGAGCTGAGGATGCTGAGGCTCAGCAAGGTCCCTTTGCTTGCCCAGGATGCCCCGACCAGTCACAGTGAGAACATGGGCCCCATGTCTGCCTGACTCCATGGTGCGGTTGCTCTCATTTCTCTGCAGTGGGATCTCTCAGAGACTGGCTAGGATGGGTGCTCAAGATTTTTCCCTTTGTAGCAAATTTGTTGGAAAGGATTTCAAGCTGAAACAGAAAATTTGCTGGTCTGGTACAAAGAACTCCTATATTCCCTGACACATGTAACCCAGTGATAAACACCTTGGTGCACTTTGTGAGCAGAACCAGTGGTTCCTCCAGTCCCCCCAGGGGGACCTACAACTCCAGAGGGTGCTTACTGGAAAATTTCTCAAGGGGTGAAAGGTGCTGGTCTGTTCCTACCTTGTATCACTTGGGTTTCTGCTCTCAACATGGCAGTGTTGGAGCCCTTGTAAAGTTACTGGGCTTTGTCTCGGGAACACCCCAGTCAGGACCAGGCTGCCAGGATGAGGAAGGGAAATGCTCAGACACATGTCTCAGAAGTGAGACGCCTGTGATATGGGCCGGCTCTGCCAGGGCATCATGAAACATAGGCCAGGAGAGGCCACATTCATCCATGCAGACAGGCTGAGATGCATGAATGCACTGTCTCAATTACACCAGGAGGCATCTGTGTGTGGGTTCCGATGATAACCTGTGAAAAGTCTGTACTGTGCACAGCTGTGATCCCAGTCGTGGTGCCAGAATTGATGTGCTCCACCCATCCTCTTGCTTCAGGGAAAGTCACAGTAGAATCAGCGAGAATACAACCTAAATCATAACTTGATGACTTATTAGGACTTTTCCCCACCTGCTCAGCTAATAATATGTACAGTGTTTCAGAAGTTTGAGATGTTTTTTGTTTTCTTCTGAAAATGCAAAGAATATTAAAAGTATAAGCTTAAGAAGACTTAGTATTCTGAGAAAGAGAGATAAAAGGACCTAACAAAATTAAGTGTTTAGAATTAAAAATATTTTTAGACATTGATTCTAAATCACACATGCAGAGGACAAGAATGGGAAGCCTGGGTTTGACCAGCCTTCCCCAACCAGATTTGTCCTTTTGAGATGTTTCCCCATCTGCCCAATATGAACTACCATGAAGTGACATTGAGTGTCCTAAGTGATGGTTAATGATCAGTAAACTGTGCCCTGAGCAACTAAGGAGGCCACATGAGGTGAAGCGAAGGGCTCAGGGACAAAGACCCAGAAGCTGGAAAGCACTCCATGCAGGGCTGCGCCAGGGAGGGGCCAGCCTGACTCCAGGGAAGAGTCTGTATGAGGGAGGGATGGGAGGTGATGCTGGATAGGAACATGGGGCAGAAGTTAGAAGGAGCACAAAGGCAGGGTGAGTGGGGAGAGTCATGCAGTGGGCAGCGGAGAGAGAGGTTTCAGAAGCAGAGTAGGAATGTGGAAAGAACAGGACTTCTTGGCAATAAAATTGCAGAGATAATTGCTAGTGTGGAGATGGCAGAATCAGAGAAAGAAGTTGCAGGGGTGTATGAAGTCAGGCATCAGTGATGAGTCTGATACACTGTGCTCTCAGGAAGATGAAGGAGAACAGATACACAGAAGGCATTTTTAATAAAACTTAGAGAAATCTTGGTGAGAATGAGGATGTGCAGAGGGGAGGAGAGAGAGGAGCCCTGCAGCAATGTGGATCAAGCCCTGCAGGCCCCGTCCCTCTACTGAGGCAGATCTGGACTGGCGTGAGGCCACCGGAAGTCTTTCCTTAGTCCACTTTCTGAGAGTGTGATTTCCTCTTCCTGTGGAAATAGCGATCATTTTTATGAGGGGTGCTGCCCGGACCCCACTGGAGGAGCGGGTAAGATGAGGACTGTGCTCGGTGTTATCTCCCTGCAGAACCACACACGCTGATCGGTAATACCTGTGGCCCCTAAGTGTCCGTGAAGGGACTGGTCCCTCTACAACATTGCTTATGGCTGTGGACGCCCACTATACGGAAACAAGATGTATATGAGTGGGTAGGTGGCAAAACCATTATAGGCAACGGAAATTCAAAGTGTTTCAGAACTCTAAAAAGTTCACCTCATGTAGTATTTGGTCTATTGCAGGGGGCCCCAAGCCCCTGGGGCTGTGGTCAGCTACCTGTCCTAGGCCTGTTAGGCACCAGGCCGCACAGCAGGATATAAGCAGCCGGCAAGCCAGCATTCCCGCCTGAGCTCCGCCTCCTGTCAGATTAGCGGTGGCATTAGATTCTCATAGAAGCACAAACCCTATTGTGAACTGTGCATGAAAGGGATCTAGATTGTGCACTCCTTATGAGAATTTAATTAATGTCTGATGATCTGAGGTGGAACAGTTTCATTCCAAAATGATCCTTCCCTCTTCTCACGTCCCCCACCCCTGATAGAAGGAAAAATTGTCTTCCATGAAACCAGTCCCTGGGGCAAAAAGTTTGGAGACTGCTGGTCTACAGCGTCCCAAAACCCTTTTCTACGGTTCCTTCCCAAAGCCTGGAGGCTCTAAGTCCTCCCCTGTTCTTATACTCCTGTGTGTTGAGGAAAACAGCATTTCCTATGCTCTGAAGGCTCTCTAGAACATTCTCTCTAGGCTGCAGGATGGATATTAATAATAACAGAATAATTGGCTTGACCTTGTTAGCCAATCCAAAGCCCTCTAGGCTGAAGTAGGGGATTTTCACTTCAGTGACATCCAGCCTGGGTACCTTCCATCTCAGCATCCCCAGGCACAGACAGGAAGTGACATCACCCATTTACATGATGTCTGTCTTTGCGGCCTGGGCCACTGGGTAGCTTTTACCTCAGAGGCGGAAATGCCAGAGATGGGTGTTCTGGGCATGATTAACAAAGGGAAAACTGAGAGCGTTCCTACTGAAGCCCCTTCTCCTTTCAGCTCCCACCCAGGCAGCCTGTCCTTATAGGCCTTGGAGTGGAGACTTGAGCCACCACCTGTCAGAAGTGCAGGCTTCACAGGCACAGCTGGAGCCGAGAACCCTGGTGCCCAATTGTCTGCGACCGCAACTGGATCAAGGGTTTGACTGTGGCTATGGCTTAGCCAGGCCGAGCGTTTCCTCCACCACCTGCAGCTTCACAGCCAACGCTGATCCTGGGAAGCAATGGCCCTTCCAAGGTAGGGAAGGAAAGGGGACCAGGAAGCTCTAATCCAGATGTTGGTGGTCATGGTGCTGTGAGAGGAGGAGGCAATGGGGTCTCTTCATGCTCCTTCAGAGTCAAGTAGAAATCCACAATGTTGCAACCCAGTGAGTGAGCAAGAGCCTGGGGTTTAGGATCAAATCTGCTCTCAGGTCCTGGGTTTAACCCTTACTCATTATTCATCTCAGCCAAGTCATTTGTGGTGTTGGCATTTACATCTCAGTTCTGTCATCTGAAAGACTTGAAAAATAATATCTACATTCAATCATTGTTGATAACATTAATTATGATAATTTCCAAAGGGCTAATTCAGTTAAAATTGCCCAATAAATCTATGAATAGATATTATCTAATTCTGTTATCTTTCTGGTAAGTTAGCACTTAGGAAATGACTTGACATTCGTTGTTTCAACTGAGGAGGAGTAACTGTTAGGATCTCTTACTTTCTAGGGACCCCCTTCCTGTGTTTTCTTAGAAAGTCTCTTTTGCCAGTTTTCTTCCTCTCCGTCAGCGTCGCTTTTAAAGTCAATTTTCCCCTATCGAGCACTTTCAGTAGCAACCTATTAGGCACATTCAGCAAAAGTGCAAATCCTGGGCCCACAAGTCAGTCTCCTGATATACCCAGTTTCTTGCTCTGTTTTTTCCCCCGTTGTTTTGAAATAAAAGAATAAAAGGGCAACCTTCTCTTGGAAAGTGTACAAATCTGTCTCTTTTATGAAACTCCATTTAGTTCGTCATCTCCACTCATGTCCACGGCCATGTCCTCAGTTTCCTTCTCCCAGGGATCCACTTCCGCTCAGATTTCCTTAAAACCCTGGGTCGTGTTCATCCTACTCTCCATCCCACTCAACATCTCCTCCTGGATCCCCTGGGGCTGCCTGGTGCTCATCTGTCAGGCGATGCCCTCAGCTGAGGAATAAGGAGACCCAAGTCCTCAGGAGGAAGGAGGGTCACGTGAGGTAATGAGCAACATCTGGGTCCGTGGAGAGGACACATGAAAGATGCTCAGTGAGTGTCGGGGGATGCATAGTCCCTGACACGTGCCCTGATAACTTTGAGAATTTAAACTGATTTCTCTTTTGCTTCTCCATGGATTCCCAGTCAGGACTCACCCCGCTGGCTCCAACACTCTCACCTGCTGGCTTCCCCAGGAGTCCAGAGCACTAACCAGGCTCCAGGCAAGAGGACAGAGTGAATGCCTTTTGTTTCATTCTCCTTTACCTGGTGACTTCTCCCTGCTGTCTAATAGGGCATTTGTTTCTCACCATGTCTTCTCTCTCTCATTCATCTTATATTTTTGAATTTTTTTCCAGTTTCAATGGACCAGATTATAGTGTTAGTGATTATAATGTTAATTCAACATCCTCCACATCCCTATGTAATACTTTCTTCCAATAGATTTTTATATATAAATATATGCATTTATGTCATTTATCATGTACATTATGCATGTTTGGCATGTGTTTTTAATAAAATGTGTATATATGCTGTATACATATCTGTATGATCATTTCATCAATATCCCATGTTTAGTCTTTCCAATTCTTTTCTCTCATATGTTCATTTAATGTTGATTTTGCTTGATTTTTAGAATCTCCTCCCTCCCAAAACGCAGCCTGTATCCAGTGTGACTTCCTTGCCTTTGCCTTGTCTACCTGGAAGCTACTTGTGTTTATTAATCCTAAATTTCTTGACTATGTTTGTCAATTGGGATCACCTTTTCCTCCTGGCAATCTTGTCATTACTGGGTGATGCATGAAAAACCAACAATGCAGAAAATACCAAAATGTCTTCCTTGACTTCCCTTTACCCCTCGGACTTTCTTGTTCAAGGCCGCTTTCCTTCTCTGATGATCCTCTTGGGTGGAAGAGAAAGTCACAATAAGATCATGGATAACAGTGAACACTGTTGGGTGTGGTTTCATTTTCAGAGCTGGGTTTAGAGCCTTCCCTCGGAATGAAGAACCCTCCCCAGCTGGAAGGTGAGGCTCTTGAAGACTCAGCTGACAACACACATGGGTATCAAGTCATTGGCCACATTCATGCCTCAAGTGTCCTAAAACCAAAGATGATCAAAAGAAAACTGCCGTTCAGCAAGTGGAGACTGGCATGCAGATTCCCTGGCCTGCAAGCTTAGGCTACGAAGGTAATCACATCTATGGCTGTTAGCTGCACTCGCTCCTTATTTCTGTCTATGATGACAGCTCATTCTCCCATTGCTTTTCTCTTCCCTATTTGTTCTCTCCAGCAGCTGCTGTCACATCTGTCTGGTCTTACCTCTGTGTCTCATGGGCTGCCACCCTGCCAGGTCCTTCCATTCCCATCTGCTCTTTGCTCTCTGAACTCTGCTCTGTTCCCACTGCTACTGTCTTGGGAGTCCCTCTCACTTCAGAGTTTTGTTGGTCTAGATATTGAGAATATTGCTAAATGCCTTAAGGTGTAACCAGATGTGGAATCAACTTCAGGTAATTAGAGAAAATAAGTTGGGCCATGGTTACAATCCCCACTCTCTGTTTGCTAACTCCATCCATGTAGACTCTCTTGTTTTTCTTTCTTTCCTGAGCCCCTTGGAAAGAATACTTATGATTATATATATATATATTTTTTGTTTATTTGTTTTCAGTGCGGAAGGATAGACTGCACTCAGTGGTTATTGTTAGTTTCTACCGCGTTATATCCTGGATGGTATCCCAAGTGTTTTCCTTGTGGTTAGGAGGCTATGAAACAGAAAGTAACACGTTGCTGTCCTTGCCACCAGAGAAATTCTAAGGGTCAGCCGTAGTGAGATTGTTTAACACAAGTTAACTAGCGCGAGGGCCCCAGAACTCTTTCCTTTCTACATGGGGCTGCTTTTAGCAGAGATTGGTCCATGATCTCCAGTCTCCTGGGTTCTCTGTGAAAATCTTCGTGTTTTTCCACAGCCTCTAGAGTTACCGTTAACACAGACTCTGCTTCTAACTGCAGCACCCACAGGAGTTTGTGGGATTTCTGTGCTGGCGGGGAATGTGTTCTCACCTCACAGAGCCAGGTAGAAACTCTACGCAGTCGGGTGCTGTTCTTTGGGATGAAAGCAGGGTCTTTGGGGCTCTGTGTCCGTCTTCGGTTGTAGACATAACACGCTTACTTTGTGGATGGGAATGGCTCTGAGCCCAGGTGCCCTTGCGCATATTCACAGAGGCCCGCAGGTCAGAACCGCAGTCTCACCTGTCAGCAGAATGCGCTGCGATCTACTCGAATTACCGGAACTATCCAGCAATAAAATGGGACACATTACAACACATGAGATAGTGTGGATAATCTCAAAAACCTCATGCTGAGTGATGAAAAGAGGGCATCCTGTGTGGCGCCATCAAGCTGAATTTCTAGAACAGGTAAAACTAACATATAGTGACAGAAACTACATCATATAGTGACAGAAACTACATCATTGATTGCTGGGGTCAGGGGGAGGGTGGGACTGACTGCAAAGCGCATAAAAAGACCTTTTAGAGTAATAGACACGTCATCAAACTTGAAACGGATGCGTTGTACCATAGTCAACTCACACCTTAATCAACTTAATTGTAAAAAGTAATAAGAAAACCACTGCAGGAGTCGTTGCTGTTGCTGTTTGTGAGCCTGTGGCATGGCTCTGTGGGACTGGAACTTTAAAGACAGCCACAATGGCTGAAAATGGTGATAATGAAAAGATGGCTGCCCTGGAGGCCAAAATCTGTCATCAAATTGAATATTATTTTGGAGAGTTCAATTTGCCATGGGACAAGCTTTTAAGGGAACAGATAAAACTGGATGAAGGCTGGGTATCTTTGGAGATAATGATAAAATTCAACAGGTTGAACTAACAACAGACTTTAATGTAATTGTGGAAACACTGAGCAAATCCGAGGCAGAACTCATGGAAATTAATGAAGATAAAACTGAAATCAGAAGGTCTCCAAGCAAACCCCTACCTGAAGTGACTGATGAGTACAAAAATGATGTGAAGAAACAGATCTGTTTATATTAAAGGCTTCCAAACTGATGCAACTCTCGATGACATAAAAGAATGGTTAGAAAATAAAGGTCAAGTACTAAATATTCAGATGAGAAGAACATTACATAAAACATTTAAGGGATCAATTTTTGTTGTGTTTGATAGCATTGAATCTACTAAGAAGTTTGTAGAGGCCCCTGGCCAGAAGTACAAAGACACAGGCCTGCTAATACTTTTCAAGGATAATTACTTTGCCTAAATAAATAAATAAATAAAGTAAGAAAAGAAATAAAGTGGAAGCTAAATTAAGAGCAAGAAGCAAATCAAAAGTTAGAAGAAGATGCTGAAAAGAAATCTCTAGAAAAAAAGATTGGATGCTTGCTGAAGTTTTCAGGTGATTTAGATGATCAGACCTGTAGAGAAGATTTACACATCCTTTTCTCAAATCATAGTGAAATAAAATGGATAGACTTCATCAGAGGAGCAAAAGAGGGAATAATTCTATTTAAAGTAAAAGCCAAGGAAGCATTGGGTAAAGCCAAAGATGCGAATAATGGTAACCTACAATTATGGAATAAAGAAGTGACTTGGGAAGTACTAGAAGGAGAGGTGGAAAAAGAAGCACTGAAGAAAATAACAGAAGACCAACAAGAATCCCTAAACATATGGAAGTCAAAAGGTTGCAGCTTTAAAGGAAAAGGAAAGGGTAATAAAGCTGCCTATCCTGGGTCTGGTAAAGAAAAACTACAGTTTTAGGGCAAGAAAATGAAATTTGCTAATGATGAACATGATGAAAATGGTGCAACTGGACTTGTGAAAAGAGCAAGAGAAGAAACAGACAAACAAGAACCTATATCGAAAGAACAGAAAAGAGAAAATGGTGCTGAAGACCAGTAGTTTAGTAAACCAATCTTTTATTCATTTTAAATAGGTTTTAGACTACTTTTGTTTATGGGGGCTTTTAAAAAGAAAACCGAATTAGGTTCACTTCAGTGTCCACGTGTGAGAAAGGAAAAGTTTTTTTGTTGTTTAACTTGTCTTTTTTTGTTACCCAAATGAGAATTATTTTGAATGTATAGTTCTGTTTGTGTTATTTCAGATGATTCAAATATCAGAAGGAAGATTCTTCCACTAAATTGCCTTTGTAATATGAGAATATGTTAGTACAAACTAATAAAACATATACTATATGAAAAGAGAAAAAAAACTCCAAATCTTAATTTCTTCTACTTAATTTAGTGTATGTTTAGCCTTAGAAAAGTGTCTATCTGTGATTGAGGGTTCAGGAATTCCTTGATTTCTGTTTCTGTCTCTGTGTCTTTGGTTAAATTCATGCACTATTAAATGGAATATTTGTAAAATAGAGTCTAAGCTCAATTTTATAAAAGTATATATATACTTACATATTATCTATATAAATTACATATAAGTATATATACTTTTATAAATATATAATATATATGACAGACTAACAAGAGAAGAGCATATGTGTTTATTTAATGTAAGTTTTACATGACAGGAGTGCCTTCAAAGGAAATGGAGACCTGTAGAAACAGCTAAATCTCAGTTGTTGTTTTTTTTAACAGTATGTTTTATGAAGAGTAGATACTCATGGAGAAGTATGATAAGACAAAAAAAGTAGGACCTAACAGTAAGAAACTGGGGAAAACGTAGCCAGGCCTCTGTGTTCAGGCTCTTCTCTGTGTCCCTGTGTCTTCAGAATCAAGGATGCACCTTTCCTGTGGGTACAGAGAGGGCACCTCTCACATGAGAGTGTTATGATCGGCTTCAGGGAATAAGGGCAGGGGGAGGGTGACAGTCATCTTCCTGCTTCTGTTGTTTTCTCAAATTCCTTTAGCATAAATATTTCCTCAAATTCCTTTAGTATAAAATATTCAATACCCCATGTATGTAAAAGTGCCATAAATGCTCAATAATTGTCTCCTGTTATTATTTTCATCAGTAACATCATCTGAATCATCAGTATTGTCTATTTTTAACAATGAAAAATGCATAAGGTAACATACCTTACCTTATTTACAGTTCAGAACAACCAAGGAAATGAGTAACTTGTAGCGGGCGTCAGAAGTTCCGTGGCACAAAAGGAATATAGGCATTCAAGGAACACCAGGATAGAAGAGCCGGAGTAGGAGAAAGAGCAACAGGGATGCAGGAAGCCACTGAATAGCTCGGGTGGAGAGAGGGCGCTCCTGCTCCGCGAGCCTCCCTGCCACCGCAGGCCTCGGGCCACCTTCTTCTAGGAAGACGCACCCTCCTTTCCTCTGGTCTCGGCTAAGGCGCTGCAAAGGGCATCGTCCTGGAGCATTTCTCCTCTCCCCCAAGACCCTCCGAAGGAAGGATGGGCAGACGAAAGCTTCACCCCGAAGTGGTCAAGCGCATACAGCTCCAGCTTCCGCGGGAGCATTTCCCGAGGGTCTTTCATGGGTAAGAGTGGGCCCTGCAGGATAATGCCTCCCGTTCCCTGAGGAGCAGTGCGGGAGATGCCCATGTGGCCAGCTCTGGGGCCACGCGACCCAGGCCCTCCAGGAGGAGCGAGGAGTCCTGGGCCCTGAGCCAGCCCCTTGGACCGGCTGTGCCAAGAGAAGCAGCAAGGGAAGGTGTCTCTGTCCTCCTGGTGTTAAGAGACGTGCATCCAACTCCCTCTCCAAGTGCTGGAGTGGAGGCTAGGTCTTTCCCACGGGCTGGGGGCCTTGCTGTTCCAAGGACGGCTGGGGAGGAAGAGGAGGCAGAGGCGGAAGAGGAAGCCAGCTGAGATGTGTGAAGCAGCTCTGGCTACAGCGGGTAGGAAGAGGGCGCGCGGGACCCAGGAGCCTCCGTGCGGAGCCAGGCCTCAGGAGCAGCCGCCTTTTTCCTAGAAGGGGTGCCTCTATCCATCTTGTCTCCAAAGACTGTAGGGAGACCTTCTCGCCCGGTGAGAAAGCGATGTCTCCCATGCTTTCCCACCGCGGACCCCTTGTGTCATTTCTCCTGCTAGTGTCGGCCCGCCAGCCTGCGGGGGCTACAGCTGCCGCGGTTCCACGCTTGGTGGACGCTGCCAACCAGCGAGCCAAGAGCCACGCTTGGAGGCGGGAGTCAAAGAGTCGTGTGCAGGCCGGGAGGAGACCCAAGCTCTGGGTCAGGGCTTTTTTGCCAATAGCCAAATTCAGCGTGTTTAGACGGAGAGCTCACATCTGTCTGTTGGAGAACTTCAGTGAGAAAACCAAGGAAGCGCATTCAAGATCCCTAGAAGAGCGGGAAGGGTCTGTGGCGGCGATATCCGCGTCTTCTGTGAGCCAAGGCCTATCCGAAGAGTGAGTGCGCGCGCCCAGCCGCAGGGTAGCGCGAACAGCACCGCAGACGAGGGCCCAGCGTGTGGGGAAATCGCAGGGGTCAGCGCAGCCGAAGTGCGGTGGACTAGCCTAGTCCAGGGAGACCCCCCTTCCTGACCACGGTCTGTCCTCCGCCAGGTAAGGGAAGAGGAGAAACAGTACAGCCTCCTCTCCCTTGGCCGAACACTCAGGGTCACCACCTTCCCCTCTGCTCGCCAGTCGCCATCCTTCCAAACCACTCTCCGCCAAAGATTCCACCGACAGTCACCCTCCTCCGGACAACCTTTCTTTCAGCAGCGGCTCCCGCCCCGCAGCCCCCGCGCCCTCTCACCCCCGCGGTTCTGCCCGCCGCTTCTGCCAAGTCTGTGCACTTCACCTCCCTGGCTCCCGCTCTCCCCTGAGCTTACAGTGGACGCGGGGTTTTTCCAAACCCCTCTTGGGAGTACTGAATGGAAAAGGGGGAGCGTGCGCAAGTGCTTGGTAGAGTGTAGACACTGTGGGATTTGACTGTGGTACCATCGCTTTAACGTCCTAGTGCTGATTTTCACACCTGCCTTCTGCTTAGGGCACCGGCCACAGTTTTCCATTTGTGCCTACTCCACCTGCTGTCTCTGTTGGCTCAGCAAATATCGCCTGCCTCTACCGCTCAGTGTACAAACGGGCGGTCCTGGAGGACCTCACCCGCCGCTCACCCGACTTCCAAACTCGCAGGCATCTCCTCCAGTCGCTTCTTCTGAAGGCCTAAGAAGCACGTTACCTGCGAACGGAGGTGAGGAGGCTCCGCTGACCGTCTCGTGTCAACTGACAACTTGTGGCACGGACAAACGCCACGACTTGCCTCGGCCTCTCTCTTAGTTATTCGCAGCTCAGCCTGATCTGCGCCTCCGGGATGGCGGAGGCGGCAAAGACGGTGGGCTTCTTGGGTGCAGCTCCAGGAGGGCTGGCATCCCTGCACGGCGGTGTACACCCGAGGGAGACGCTCAGTCGCTCTGTAAAGCCGCTTGTGCGGATGACAGACACGGAGGTAAATAAGAGCGCTGCGTCATGAGAGGTGACCCACCAGGACTTGCCCTCCTTCGCCGGGGTTTGCACCTCACTGCGGAGACTGTTCTGTCTCCGGCCCTTGGAGAAGGCCCGCTTACAGCGGCGTAAAGGAAGGTTTCTGCGGGATGGCGGTCAGTGCAAAACGATTTCCTGACTGGTAATCGAACCGGGGACTGCGCCGGTGAAAGCGCTATTCTAGCCACTAGACCACCTGAGAGGCACAGGATGGGGCGTTTTCAACCTTCTCGCCACTGAAGTGACAGTTTCCCTGTGCGCTGGGAAGACTTGGGACTTGTGGGGGTCGCTGGTCGCTCCTGGAGTCCTCTCATAAGGCCGTTTCCTCCCTCCTTTCTCCAAAAGAGGAGCACGCAGGCGACACACCCGGCACTCCGCAAGGCTCACCAAAGCCACGAGTCCCGAGTCCCGGAGCGAGTTGCAGAGTCCGGGCAGAACCTGACCACTGACCTACAGATGTGCCTTTGCGAAGCGGCAGCGCATGGAGAGACCGTAGCGGGTCGCCAGGGCCAGAGCCTCGCACTGGGTAGCCAGGAGCAGGCAGGAGGGAGGAGGCTCCTGGGGTGAGACCGGGGCACCCCGAACATCATAAAGGACTCAGACCTTGGCATCCCCGACATAATAAAGGACTCAGATGGATGCGGAAACCGAGACGGGCTGCTTTCCGTAGGCGTCCAGTCTAGTAGGCATCCCCGTCTTTCCAGTTGGTGGTACAAACTGACGCTTGAGATTTTTCCTCAGAGCCAAGATCGAACTGGTAACCAATTCGTGATTTCCCGTCGGCCAAGTGCGTGGGCATCGATCTACACGTGAGTTTCTCCACCTCCGCAGAATGGCTATTTCGGGGTGGGGGAGGGCCTCCGGTGGATTGTAAGGTGTTTAGCAGCATCCGTTGCCTCCGCGAACTAGATGGATGCCAGGGGTTAACATTCTCCCTCCCCGCTTCCCCGACTCGTGGCCTAGTGTCTCAGCGGGGATGCGGAAGGCGTGTGAGGGCGAAGTTGCCCCTTGTTGAGTATTGGTGCGCCTAGTCCTGCTCTGAGCTTGTGCAGAGGACTTTCCAGATGAAGGCTCAGGGGTCGATCCAGCTGGAGAGCCCCTCCCTCCCCAGCACAGTTGACCTTAGGATTTGAGGCTTTTAACATCTCTGAGTTTCCACCTTTAGGTCTTTCCTTCCGTTCTATCCTCCAAAGCGGCCTCTTCCGAGCCTGTTGACCAAGGCCAGCCAGGTCGAAGGCTGGGTTCGCTCAAGGAGGATCCTCTTGCCCCTCCTGGAACTTCAGGCCTGTCGGTTGGGCCTGCAGAGAAGCCTTAGGGCCCACTTCGTTCGGCATCCTAGGGGGCAGGTGCGCGGTGCGAGGGGAATAGGAGAGTGTGACTGTGGTTCCCGACCCCCTGGCGCTCACCCTCCATCCCCGTGCGCACCCTTCCCACCCTTCCCTGCTCCTGCTGGTCCCGCTCGCCCCGAGGTAGGTCTCCGGTCAGCATAAGCTCCCAAGAAGCCAAGGCCCAAAAGGACACGTAGCGGAAACAAGCTGCTCACTTCGGTCCTGTCTGCAAGGAACCCCTTTCTGACCAGAAAGAAAGGCGGCCAGTCCTGTCCCGTTGGGTTAGTGGAAGAGAGATTGAAGGGAAGAGAAGAAAAATCCTGTGAGGTTTCAGGATCTAAAGTCACCATGAAGTCGATCTAACCTCCTCTGAAGGTCCTCCCGGTCCTCCAGTGGCTGGCGAAGGTGAGATGAGTCCCTGTCTCCAGTTTGCCAAAGTGGACAAAGCCTACCACAGTGGGCCCCGAATCAGCTAGTAGGCATCCCCCTCTTTCCAGTTGGTGGTACTCGAGCTTCCCTACCCAGGATTTCCATGGATTCCAAGGGTACAACTGAACACCTTTTCTTGTTCCAGCTGCTCTTATTTGAAGTAAGGGCAGATCTGTTGAGAAGCATGTATTCGGTAAGAGTAGAGCAACCCTTGTTGAGACTGTCCCACTCTTCCTCCTCCTCCCTCTTCCTAGAAAAGCACAATGAAAATTAATCCCCACGACTGGCCTGTTGTACTTTCAATGCACATTTGGCGGAGCCTAAGGGGAGTCTATGAGGTTCCGGGGTGAGTATTTGAAGTATAACACAGTCATTTTTATTTACACGTGCATTCCAAACACACATTGGACAAACGCATCCAGTTCACCTGTGCCACACTTACAAAGATAGGAAAAGAGGGTCTACACACAAACAAGTGAAAGACGTAATCGAATGGCTTTTAAACATCTGCTGTTTCCACTGAAGGTCTTCTTCTCTGGATACACCCACCAGTGTCTTCTCTTTCTCCAAAATCAGACATTCAAGTGCCAGACCCTGAAATCAGTTTTCTGGTACCAGCTTATTCTTCCCCATTCTGTATCCCTGCCACTCCACTCTCTTCTTTCATATGCAGAAAAGGTCAGCTCTCCCTCACTTTCTAATTTGCAACATCCCACTGGAAGAACTCAAGGACCAGCATCAAAAATTAGACACCATCCATGGGACTCCTTCTCTGTCTTAGTTGGAGCTTCCATAACAATGTACCATAAACTGGGTAGCTCATCCACAACAGACATTCCTCACAGTTCTGGAGTTTGGAAATCTAAGATCAAGGTGCCAGCATGGTAGGATTAGGGTGAGGAACCTCTTCCTGGTCGTAGACTGCCATCTTCCCACTGTATCTGCAGGTGGCTGAAAGAGGCAGAGAGAGCTCTCTAGTGTCCCTTTTATAGGGGCACTAATCCCACTCGGGAGGACTCCACCCTCTGGATCAAATTACCACCCAAAGGCCCCTCCTCCTAATTTTAACACTTTCCAGGGGTGGGTGGGGGAAGGTTAGAGTTTCAACCAAGGCATTTTGGGGGGACACAAACATTAGGCCTCCTGTGATCTTTCTA